TTTATATAAATTCGCCATTCGCGAGTCATGTTAAACTCCCTCAAGCGCTATTTTCGCGACGACACCGTATTTATTCTTGAGGTTTCGATAATGCTTAGCGTGCCAAAATTTTTTTCATTCAATTTTAAACAAAAATGCGTAAATTTCTGAGAAAACAAAGGAAAACGGCAAATCCACGTCTTCTTGAAAGAATCTCACCTTGAACTTGTTTGAACTTATAGCACTGGCTAAGATAACAACTCTAAGTAAAGATAATGTTTAAATAAGTTACACAATCAAACCTTTCTATAATCAATAAATTGAATAAACAACCTTTGAAAAACCATAACGAACCGGTACATCGCCACCAATGTGTCCGGACTGCGGTAAAGGCTCTAATTTTTCGAGTTCACTGAGTCCATCAAGACCATCTCCAGATTCAAAGTCTGCGCAAGGTGCTGAAAGGAAAATACATTTTAAAAATCAACACAATAAAACTTCAAAACCTCACCAGAATCAACTTTCAACTTTTTGCACGCTGGCTCATCCATGGCGTCTAAAGAGCCGTGGATTGGCTGGCGTGCGAACACTTTTGAACGATCCGAGAGCTTCAGCAGCTGCTTCGGTCAGACAAATTCTAGCGTTAGTTGTTGCTCTCCCTTCGGATTAAGACGTGACGCTTACTGCTTGCATGCAGTTCACCGTCCGCCTCACACTATCCTTGTCTTCTAAGCGATGCGCTTAAACTAGCAGCTTTGTATTAAGCAAGTTATACTTGTACAAAGTTCACAAAATCCAACGTATAAGAAAAATCGATACTGCAAAAAGAATAAGTTTGAGATAATTAGTGCAGAAATGCAAAACAAGCCACAACTTCAATTCTGCTGTCTCTCAAGGGAATCAAGCATATGAAATTAACAGTGAAAAACCGTCTTCAAAAACTAAATAAATAAATAAATAACGACTTTGAAACGGGAAATTTTATGGATGAGTAAAACTTTATACTTCCACCACCTTCCGAGCACGAAAAATCGGAATGTTTCTTAAGAACATTCCAATATGTCATGCGCGGAGAATAATATTACAAATTATTTTTTTCGTAGCAATTTTTGAAATATTGTTGACCTTGATAAGTTATGGCCAATATTCACACAGCTAGCTCAAAATTACTAATCCGTTTAGTCTGCTCAATTAAGAAAGGTCATTCAAGATGTGGCAAGATTCCGATTTCTCGTCAGCTCTCAATCAAAATATACGGACGCATCAAACTTGAGAAACAATAACATGGTGTTCGGCCTTTCCTGACACGCGCAACGCATCAGGTTTAGAAAACACCATTAAGAACAACACATTGAAAAACTACAATTAATAACTTCTAAACATGACCGTTGATCTGTAGAAAGTTCCAAAGATCAAAAATGACCAACAGAGTGACCCTCAAGTTGATCTGAACGCTAAGAAAAGCATGCCGAATCTTTTCGAGTACGCTGAGAGGAACGCTTAGACATTGTTTCATTGCGCGATGCGTAGACATCGCGTTCAATGAGTGTGTACGGGAACGCCAGAGAGTTTAGACACATCTCACGGGTGAAACGCCGCTGCGATGGTCATTGCAACGGAGTCAGCATGGCTGCCGTGAACGTGTTATAGGAAGCAGGACTCCGCCTACGTCTAGCATACGGTAGATAGTCACAGCAATAGCGCGACGCGACTGCTGCGCCACCGACAGAAATCAGCGCCGGTTCCAATAAAAAGTTTCAAAAGGTTAAATGTAGATCAAAAGGCCAGCTTTGATGAAAATTACAAAAGATTAGCGTTATGAGAGATCGCCGCTAGCATTTCAGTAAGTTACGATCATGAATATGCGGACAATGTGAAGAAATCGTGCTAAGCAGAGATTACGGTAATTGACTTCCAAACTCGCGTAGATCAAAATATTTTCAGACTTTTTCACTAAGAATAGAAACTTCCGCATATGTGGCATGATATTCTGTCTAAAACTGTGAGGTTTATATGAGAATTTTGGCGCTTCGATTTTAAGAAATATGAATGTATAAAATGAAAAAAAATAGAAAAAAAGTTCGAAGAGGAAGTAAGATCTTTTCTTGGCATCTTTGTGTAAGCTAATTACAGTGCAAAATTATTGTCAAAAAATAAAAAGTCTCAGAAACTTCCACAAAAGTGCACGACGCTTCATGGAGCATGAGGGATCACGTGCGCGCGCAAGTGTACAGCATACTACTAGATGGAAAAAATCGAGCAATGTAGCAAGTGTGACCAATGAATAATTGGTCGCGGACCACGATGAACGTCTTCATCAGTGCGTCGACGCTGCTCATGATGAGAAACATCAGCACGACCGGCTCAGCGTGTCCTCAAGATTGTAATAACGCGCCGGTGGGGGCGGGGCGTGCAGATGCCCGCACCATCAGCACGATGCGCGCTGCTAGCCTAGCCGCTCTCACTCGACTACGCTCGACGTCGTGGTGGTGTGCCACAACTACTGCCATTCTTATTTGGAACCCTTCTACTAAGTCTTTAAGCTATGCCAAATCCGTCCCAGGACTGTCTGCAACGTTGTCGGCCATTTCGATCACGAACTCAACTGTAACCACTGCGCTATGATGCTAGAGCATCGGCTGAAGCAGTCAATGATTCTGCGTCTGAACTGACTCCGCAATCGAAATCTATTCCAGCTGATCACACAGACCTATGTTACATTCTCATCTATTGCTAGGACCAGCGAACAATCATTTATTCGAACTACTCAACACCGTGTACATCAGGAGATTGCTTATAAAGAAAGCAACTGCGAGTCTTTTCCCAAAGGGTAAGTCTCTTATTCCCATTGCCTTGATCAACATAGTCTCATGCTATTTAAAAGCACGGCATGCTTTTGACGACTCCTGAAGTCAGCCAACTCTTCCCACATTAACCATAAAGCTCTGTGACAATGGTTTATCTTAAATAACGCCTTCAGTTTCGTTTCAATGAAGTTATACTCGTCGTACTTGGAGTAACCTGAGAGTCACATTTCATTAATTTTGGAATATTCATTGCTTTTTAAGGTAGATAACCCCATATAACATTGTGACCTATTGGCTTCAAATGGATTGCCTATTGATTAGATAGGTTGAGGAAGCCTAATCTAACTCCTGTTAAGAGTGAGAGTGGCTTGCCGTAACCGTCAGTATTTTTTGATATATTGTCAGTTTTGATGTAGTTTCATAAGATTATGAGAGAGTATTCCGATTCATTGTCCAAACTAATGGATATCGTTAACAGACTCAAACCAGTTAATAACGAGTTACAGATTTTCGACCTTATATCCACATACGTTCTT